CCCCCTCCCCCCCAGCCCTCCCCCCTCCCTTGCACGACCCCCTCCCTCTGCGCCTTCCAGGCCAGGACTGTGAAGGGGGATAAGAGCCGCGGGGGCTTCTCCCAACTTGGCGAGTTTAAAGAAAGGCCCCGATGATGAAGTCTCTCCTAGGACAGGCTTTGCAGGGAGGCTCCTCCGTTCAGCTTCACTGGCCGCATTTTGGGCCTTGACAAACCATTGATTGGATTGAAGGAAGAAGAAAAAAAAAAAGGCTTGTGGGCTTCCGCTCCCAGAATCCCCCAAGCAGCTCGGGAGACCCCTGAGTTAAAATGCCTGATTTCCCTTGGCATGCAAAGAAAAGGCGGTGGATTTCTGCTGCTTTATTTGGGGGTGTATGGTTCCCCCCCCCTCCTTTGTGGGTTGGTGCGTTTTTTTTCCAGTGCAGGGTCACTGGTGGCCTCCTGAAGAAACCTGGCAGCTTTTCTGCCCAGGAGACTAGCCTGAGCATCCATCGTTCCAGTGGGACTTTTTCGGTAACTTTTTCAGTGTTTCCCTTCTCATTTAGGGAACTCTGGCTGCTCCCAACTGTTGGAACTTCTTTCCATCCATGTTTGCGAAAGTGAAAGACTTTAACTCGCTCTTTTGTTTTCAGGATGTTTTTTAGGATGTTTTTAAAATCTAAGCATAAGGGCATTTGATGTTGAGGAAATGTTTGCACCATAACAATATCCTCTGCTTGATTGGCAAGTGCTGCCCCTCTTTGAAGGTTTATTCGAAATGTGGGCGTGTTAAGTGACTTACATGCCAGGTCTGTTTTTTAATGCAACGTTTTGTTTCTTGGTTTGCAGGCAGGCCCAGTCATTAAAGTAAAGATCCCGAAGGACAGGGATGGGAAACCAAAACAGTTTGCATTTGTGAATTTCAAACATGAAGAATCTGTTCCCTATGGCATGAGTCTGCTTCATGGGATCAAACTTTTTGGGAGACCGCTCAAAATTCAGTTCCGATCAGGTATCCATAAAATGTGTCAAGCAGCCTAGATGATCTTGGCAAAGTAGAAAGATTTTATCACTTCCCTTAGAGCTAGTGTGTAAACTGTTAGAGCAAAGTGCTTTGTGTAACCATGCTGGATTAAACAGTTGCCAAACCTTTAAGTAGAAGATACGATAATAGTGAACACCACATTGTCTGTGTATTAACATGAACTATTTTTGAGAAGAGGCTGCTTTGTCAGCCTTGAAGAACCATTGCTGGGATCGGCTTAAATTTTAGTTAATTTTATATTTAAATACATGATGCATCTAAATATTACAAAGATCCTAAAATCATTGCCCTACAAATGACTATTCTGCTTCACTGAATGCTGTATGCACTTTGAGTTGTTCAGTTGTGAAATATAATCTGCTGTTACCACAAAACATTCTTCTTAAAACAAATTTATTCCCAATTCAGCCCCATTGCTGAAGTGAATTCTGGAGTCTTGGTTTCAGTGTGTTGGTATTCTTTAAATCTCACTTCTGCTTTAAACAAAATATGCGAAATTAACTTTTGCAGAATGGGGCTGATGTATTTGAAAGAATGTCCTTAGTTTTTTTCAGCTCAGGACGGCTCATTTCCATCTAACATGGGATTGCAATTAAGTTGGACTTTGGTGTCTTTAGTGTTGCATTGCGATTGCATTGTCCCCTACTGGGTATTTCAGAAGGTTGCAACATTTGTTTTGGAAATCTGTTTGTGTGCTGTAGTAGTCCTCTGGTGTGATACTTCAGAGCCAGTTAATTGCTCCATCTTGGCTGCTGGCATCTTGCAGTTTGTCTCCCTCAAGAGTCCTTTAATTCATCTTCCAAAATGTCTTCCAGGGAGCAGTCATGCATCTCAAGAGGTCACCTCACCCTGTGCCCCACATGGATTTGCAAACGGAAACCCCTCCAGCCCACAGCTTCTGGCAGCAGCACACAGCAACAGGTAGCCTTGGGTGGACTTCTCTGCTGGCTTTTAAACTGGCCTAATTTGAGGGGTCTAGCTGGGGTGGAAAATGAAATTCATGAAATGATAGCACGAAAATGCAGAAGCGGCGTGTTATTTAAAAGTATTTCAAAACCACTTATTAAAATGTTCTGATACTTTTCAGAACACTGAATTATGATTCATGATTTGAAATAATTACTAGGTCTCCTGAGGCATTTGACAAATGTGCCTGTAATAAAACTGGTTAATTATATTTTCTTTAAAGAAGTGCTTTAAATATGGTAAGTTTACAAATATATGGAATGTGGTTCCTTGGGAAAAATAAAATAAAATTGAATGTCAACTTCATTAAGATTAATACAGCTGATTTCTTCTGGTTTTGACTTAACAGGTTTGAGAGGAACACAGAGAACATGTCAGCTGGCCAGAGATCATTCTCCTCTTTGGACAACCATCAATCAAAGGCTATGGTGAGTGGGCCTCCCCAGTGGGATTTGGAAGAGGAACAGCACAGATCCCTTGAGGGTTCACAGATGGGATGTGAGCCTGTATTTTCCTCTGGGGTGGGGGGTGGGGGTGTTCTTTCTTTACATGCCGAATTCCTGCAACACCAGCCATCTTTATTTCGTGCTGCAGTTGCCTGAAGTAGCATCAAATCTGACAATTCCACCAGCTTTTCTGCATTCTTCCCTGCATGGGAACTGCTCCCCCCAAATTTTATGAAAGGCTCCAGAGGAAATCCTTGTACATGTTTATATGCAAGTGCAGTAAAAAAAAAAAAACACCCAAAGTGTTACATTGATGGCCCATATTGTCTCTTCACCGTGCTTGCTGCAACTTTATCTTTCTCAGGCCTCCTCCTCCTTATTGGTTCCCTCTAGAGCGGGGTGGGGGGTCCAAACTTGGCAACTTTTAAAGACTTTTGTGGACTTCCACTCCCAGAATTCCTCAGCCAGCCAAGGCCAAATGTGGAGAGTCCTGCTCTCAATCTCTGCTCAAAACGTTTTCTCCTGCCCTCTTTGGCTTAGCAGACAATACTCCCACCTCTGCCCTTCCCCAGCAGGGCTGCAGTTGAGGGCCCAGAAGCCTTCCTGCCCTTCCTTGGACACGGGGGTTGTGGGGATTCTTCCTGGCAGCAGGGCCCTCCTCTCCTCACCCCAAGCTTCTTGCCTCCCCACCCAGATGACTTCGGCCTGGCAGCAGGTCCCATCGTACGGCGGAAGGCACAACTCTCCGCTTCCCGAGTCTTTGCCTGCAGGCCAGCAGGGTTACTCCTCCCCCTGGTCCTCAGCCTCCCCAGCACACTGGCGCTTGGAGCCTCCCCGCAAGGGCAGGGCCAGCTCCCACCCGTACCAGTCTGGCCACAGGCACCACGGCCAGGAGCAGAGGCGGCTTGCGGACTGCGGTTCCAATTACTCCTTCCGGGGGAGCCGGGAAGACCATTACCATGACGACAGGAAGTATGGAGGCTGGAGCTGAATCATGGCAGCCGGAGTTACCGCGATGGGGGATGGCGCTCCGCCCGCCACTCGCAAGTATTTGGAGCGGATTTTACGTACATTTCTTCCTGTTGGTTCTTTCCCTTTTTAAAGCTTCCTTTCTTCCCTTTACGGAGAGCTTGTAGGCGATAACTTCACAAGTTACCTTTTTAAAAAGAAAAAAAAAAGTTTTATATATCTATCATCTGCAGTATGTATTTTGAGAGAAAAGAATTTTTGAATTGTATTAACTTCCCCTCAGGGTTTAGACAAAGAGAGAAAAAACAAGTGCCACACTTTTAAACGGATAAAGAAAAGAAGACATTGTGTTTATTTTATAAGGAAAAAAAAAGTTCTGCTGCTTTGGTTTTATTTTAAAACCAACGTTGGTATTTTTATAGCAAGAGCCCCTGAGGCGGTTCTGGTGTTGCTCAGAAAAGGGCCGGGAAGAAGAAAGTTTGGTGGCCGTTGACAATTTGGGTAACAGTGTTTTGCTGCGGGAATGAAGTTACTGAATATTCGTTGTATTAAGTGTTTCGCCTGGTGAGATCTACAAAGAGAGTAGATTTGCCCAAGAATTTGATCACCTGTAATGAAGGATGTGTGTTCTTTACACTGACAGTCTCATTGGGGGGTTTTTAGCTGATCTGATCTGGTGGTTTTTATATCAAGGAAACCCTGCAGTATCTTAAGTGATTGCCACTTCTCAGGAAATTATTGCATGCTTCTGCCTCACGTGGAGAAAAATTCAGATTGTTTTGCAAACACTTTCAAAATTAGAAATTTCTGATTTAGGTTAAATTAGAAAATCAATATTCAAATGAAACGAGAAAGAGGTAAGTATTGATGAGAATATGCGCCCATTGCAAGCTTGTAATGAAAGATTTCATCATAAAATGACTGGTTCCTGATGAGAGCTCAAAATGCTTAGTAATTGGAGAGTGAAATCTTGCTTTTCAGTCCCCCGGGTGGGCTACAATCTTCACGCTTCCCCCTCCCTCCCTGGCTAAAATGCCATCACTGCATGCAACTCTTACTTCTTTGTATTCTGAGAAATCCTGATTTGGCACAAGTGTTTGCCTGGGAGCACTTTTAATGGTAAGAAACTAGCAGGCCTAGCTTTCACTTGGCTTCCGGGTGCATCTCCGGTGCTTCCTTTAAACATTAGCCATTGGGACTGGTAATTAAGTGTTTGTGTTTTCTGGGCACACGTAAAACACACGGATTGTGTTTCAAATGGCTGCTTTGAGTAAAATTAGTACCCAGTATTTGCAATTGGCATACGTTTCACTTGGAGCCATGTGATTTTAGGGAAGAAGCAGCCGTTTTAACCGGGTTCATCCTCATCTCTTCCCTACTACTACAGTCCCAAGATGACTATTATTCTTTCTACCAAACAGAATTCCTGAAAGAACAGGACTAGGGTTTTATTTTGCTGCTGTTGCTGCTTGCTTTTTCTTTTTTTCCAAGAAAGATTTTTAAGCCTTGGTTATACTACATGTCTGAAGGGGTGAGATTTTGTTAATATTAATGTTGACAACATTGTTCATATACAGGAAACATTTTCTACTAGTATTTCAATGACCCTGCTTTTGATGATGCCGTAAATTTAAAAAGCCCCTAAAATTCATTTCTAACATTTTCCTAAGAAATATTGTTGAGAGTATTAAACATGCCCTTCCTTAGGCTTATGTATATGTATATAATGACAAAAAATAAATAATTCCTTTCTTGTAAAAACTGTTGTGTGTGTGCAAACAAAATTTCCTGAGGTCTAAATTCCAAGCTAGTGGTTCTTCTGAGTTTTCCAAAAGTATTTGCCTCTCGTGTGGAGTCGGCTCCGTGCACCTGCCTGAAAATGCCTGCCTGGTTTGTTCCCCTGTTCCCCTAAAATCTAAATTCCTGGGGCGGCTCTGACAGAATTGATCTGCCCCCAAGAGAGGCTGCATGCTCTGGATGTCCAAATCTTGCCTGGGGTGGATATTAACCTGCCCCTCTGTTCTTTCTCTTCAGTGATGCGATATTGCTTTGTGTCTGTTCCTGCCATTATTTCTTTCCCCTGGGGAATTCATACTCCAAAAAGAAAAAATAAATGAATTTGTTAAGATTGCTAATGACCGTCTGCGAAGGGTGGGCTCTCTTTTCCCAAGCGAGGCCCATCTGGGCTGCACCGATTTCCTGGGGTGAAATGCCGCTTCCTTCATGAGCAAGGCCCCCTTGCCCTGGGGCAGGGAAAGCAGCTCCACAGAGGCCCCCCCCCCAAGGAAGCTCAAAGGGCTTTGCTGCCCATTCCTGTCCTTTGACCTGCAGCCTCTGGTCCCCCCCCCCTCACCGCCTCCCCTCTTGGCCCCTCTGCCTTCCCCTTGCAGTTGAGCTGCAGGTGCTTTTTTAAAAAAAACGGTCAGCCATAGAGGGAGGGCAAAGGTCGACCTTTGACATTGACCACCTTGCCCCCCCCTTCCTGGCCGCAGCTGCAAGCTGTCTGCCCCCCCTCCAACCCCAACCCTTGGCAGGCCGATCGCCTTGCCCCAGAGCAGCCCATTGGGGGGTGGGGGGGAAGCAGCTGCCCATTCCCTCCTTCCCCAGCAGGGTGGAGCAGGCGGGCATCTGGGGCCGGTCCCGGGTGGCCCTCGGACCTCCAACGAGGATGCTTCCGCCTTCGTTTAGGGGAGGGAGGGAGAGAGGACTACTTTTCCCGGCATGCTAAGCATGGCGCGGCCACTTCGCGTCGGGCTCTTTTGAGGACTCCGTTTCCCGGCAACCCTTGCGGCAGGACGGGAGCCGGCGGGGGGGCGGGTCGGTGTCGCGCTGCCTGCCGGGAACCGTAGGCCCTTTCGGCGGGGATGCGTGGCGTCGGCGGAAGCGCCCGCGGCTGGCTGCGGCTCTGCGGAGGAGGCGTCCCGGGGCGCGGCGGGAGGCGAGCGATGGCCGAGGCGGCCGGCCTGATGGGCCAGAGGATCGTCTGGGTGGACCTGGAGGTAGGGAGGGGGCAGGAAGCGGGGGGGGGGGGGGCCCCCCGCCCCCCATCCCACGGGAGATTTCCCCCCCGCCTGCCTGCCCACTTGGGGTGCGGGGCGGCTGGCCCCCTCCAAGGGTGCCGGGGGGGCTGGGAGGGGGGCAGGCAGGGGGGATCTCCTGTATGGGGGGGGCTTCCCCCCTCCTAAACACCTCAACTCCCCCCCTTCTAAGATGGGACCCAGCATCTCCCTCCACAATTTTTTTTGGGGGGGGTCTTGAATCTGGGGCTGCAGCTGTGCCTCCTTCTTGGGCTTCTGCTGAAGGGAGGGGCCCTCAATCCCCCCCCCATCATAACAGGCAGAAGCCAATGGGGGTGGGGCGGGGGGTAGCATTCAGGGGGTCTGCCCCATGAATTCAAGCAGAGGGCCCCTCCCCCCCTTTGCTCCCCATGGGCAGTTGGCGTTTTCCTTGGGGGCCGAGATTTGCCCCGTCTTTGGGGAGACCCCAGAGCTGCATTGGGGTCCCCGCCCTCCATGGCACCTCCATGGCCCGCTGGTCCAGAGCTGGTCTGGCTTGACCCGGCAGGGAGCTTTCGGCCCTCCCAATGCCCAGCCCAGCTGCAAGCATCCTCCCACCAAGGATGGGAGCCCTCCATGGACGGCCCTTAGACTTGCAGGGGTCTCCAACCTCGGCCACTTTAAGACGGGTGGACTTCCACTCGTCTGGCTGAGGAACTGGCTGAGGAACTCTGGGAGTGGAAGTCCACCCGTCTTAAAGTGGCCGAGGTTGGAGACCCCTGATCTAGATCAAGGGTCTTCAAACTTGGCAAGTTGAAGAGTTGTGGCCTTCAACTCCCAGAGTTCCTGAGCTAACATGACCAGAGGAGGAATTCTGGAGTGGAAGTCCACCCGTCTTAAAGTGGCCAAGGTTGGGGAACCCTGAGGTTCTCCCTCCCGAGTGTCGCCTTCTTCCTTTGAAGGCAGGACGGTGAATCACCCCCCACTCTCCTCCCCCATCCCCCCTTCAGTAAGTGAGTCCCTGCTTAAGGCCAGGGCTAATTCCCATGCTCTTCCCCTGGCTGCCTTTGCTTCTCGGACACAGATGACCGGCCTGGACGTTGAGAAGGACCAGATCCTGGAGATGGCCTGCCTGGTCACAGATTCAGGGCTGAACATCCTGGCCGAAGTAAGTTGCTATCCTGACGGTTAGTTCAAGGTCTCCCCCTGATGGAGGGGCCCTGGGGGGAATGTTCCCCTTTCCCCGCCTGCCAGGCCCAGATGGTCCCAGCCTGGAGACCGGCTGCTGCCAAGGGGGCAAAGGCCAGATTAAACTGGAAGGCGGACTGGCTTACAGCGGTTCTCTCTCCCTGTGGCTTCTGAGGAGACGTGGATCCCTCCGCGGCCTAATCCTGCCGGCTCCCTCAAGGATGGGCTGCCTCTTCCTCCTCTCCACCAGAGAGATGTATGGCGGGCGGAAGGAAGGAGCGAAGGTGAAACCTTCCCTGAAAAGGGAGGGTGGCCTTTGGACTGCTGTGTTTTTAAGTGCTTTTTGTTGTTCTATTGGGCTCATTACTATCACCATTAATCCTCCCATCACTCCTTATTACTCCTCCCCTCCCACTTGTGACTGTAGGACTGTAACCTTGTCTCTTGTATCCTTACGATTTATATGGACTGTTTCCTGGTAGGATTTGATTGCTTATTGCACCCAGTGACTATCATTAAGTGTTGTACCTGATGATTCTTGACTCTTGCCGAATGTCTCTTTTCTTTTATGTACACTGAGAGCATTTGCACCAAGACAAAGTCCTTGTGTGTCCAATCACACTTGGCCAATAAAGAATATTCTATGCTATGCTATGCTATTCTATATTCTATTGTCCTTCCTTCTTCTATTCTATTCTACTCTATTCTATTCTTTCTTATTCTATTCTATTCTTTCCTATTCTCTTCTCTTCGTCCTTTCTTATTCTATTCTATCCTTCCTTCTTTATTCTATTTTGTTCTATTCTCTCCTATTCTATTCTATTCTATTCTATTCTATTCTATTCCTATTTCTATTTCTATTTCTATTTCTATTCTCTTTGTGAGCTGCCCGGAGTTACGGATGGTCAGTTGGATGGTCATATAAACATTCATTCATTCATTCATCCATAAATGTCCTCTCTCGGTTGGTAGGGTCCTAACCTGATCATCAACCAGCCCAATGAGTTGCTTGACAGCATGTCAGACTGGTGCAAAGAGCATCACGGGAAGGTAAGATCTCCAATTTCCTAGAATTTTGTGCTCAAATGGCTTCCTCTTCTCAGTTTCACCATCCCTCCTCCTCCTCCCTAGGGTCCCCTTCTGCCCTCCTGAGGAAGGGACCCTTTTCCTTGAGGGACAGCTCAGTGGCTTTGTAGCCCAGAGCGGGGCAACCCAGCACCGCCCTGATGTCAGCACCGAAGCTGCAGCCCAGCAGAACAGAAGTTGGGGATTCTGAGGTTTCTCGTTCCTGCTGGAACCTGATATTTGAATTTAAATCTTTTTCTCAACCTTTCCACTCTTTATGAGGGGAACTGTGACAGGAGCTCATGTATGGGAAGGCCAGTGAGGCTTGTGTTGCAAAGGAATATCTCCCATCCAGCCATGGGGCCACCAAGGTCTTGTCCTGCTGTGAATAATTGGAAGGGAGCCTTGTTTTGGGTCAGAGGTCATGAACCTACACAGGTAGAGACGATTCCGGGCCCTTGGTTGAGGAACATCAACGAGGAGACAATAGCTGTCTGGGAATGCAGATAATTATGAAAACAAAGTAGTAGACTTTGTCCAGTTGGATTTCTCTATGACAGAAGTCTTCAAACTTGACAGCTTTAAGACTTGTGGACTTCCAACTCCCAGAGTTCCTCTTCCAGTTATGTTAGGAATTTTGGGAGTTGAAGTCCACAAGTCTTAAACTTGCCAAGTTTGAAAGCCCTTGTCCTATGTATCTCTTCAACTTTCTGAGTGGTGGGCACCGTCGGCCACCTTGTGCTGGTTCCCCTGGAATGGGGGTCTCTAGAGATCCTTCAGAGGCTCTGGAATAATAGAGCCCGCTGAGCCTTCCTCAGACCCCTTCTGGCATGTTCAGGGATGCCCTTATTCCCAAAATTCCTCCCCCAACCCTACCCAAGGCCTGGCCTTGCTACTCTGAGTCCCTGTCTTGGGCAACCGCCTTCAGACATGGGTTCCTTGAAGCCTGTGGGGGTTGGGTCCGAGCAACTCTCTTGACGATGCAGCTTCACCTCTGCGTTCTCTTCTCTCCCAGTCGGGTCTGACCAAGGCCGTGAAGGAGAGTACGATCTCCCTGCGCCAAGCGGAGTACGAGTTCCTGTCTTTCATCCGACAACAGACTCCGCCAGGGCTCTGCCCTCTCGCAGGTTGGAGCGGTGAACTTGGCCTCTTTCGT